AATGATGCGCTCTTGACTCTAAGCAGATGGCTTAGCAACATAGATGGTGTAATGACAGACGCTGACGGACTCGAACTCGGTGATGGAACGGTCCATTGATTGGTTTGAATAAGAAACTCGCACACTAATGTATAAGAAGTACACAGTACTGTACAATAGGGCTGTGCAATTAATCGGATTTCGATTTTGGGTCTCAACGATCACAAAAACTGTGTAATCGAGAAAAAACGATTATTCAGTTTTTCAAGTTATTTTGGCCTGCGTTCCTAATGACGCGCATGCGCACTTTCGCCCCTCCCGAAGCTCGAACTCTCTCAGCCTATACTGTCGGCAAAACAAGTCGCGTATGTAGTATCTGGTCGCATTTAAAAATCAGCGCGAGTGAAGATGGCAGAACGAGAGCAGCCACAGAAATCTTGGGTCAACAAAAGAGGTAAAAGCAATTCCGTTGTTTGGGAACCGTTTGGATTCGAAGAAGCGGAAGTGGATCAAAAACATATTAAGTGCAAGATTTGCTACGCGGTGGTGTCAGCACCGCTTGGTAACACCACAAATCTTTTTAACCATCTAAAATTTAAACAGACCGACATATGACCAACTAATAATAAAGAAACAGAAAGAACAACCCCCACGACGTCCTCCACAACACAGTCATCCATTAAAGACTGACTCTTCAGTGCAACTCCTTATCCATCCAGCTCAGAAAAGCACAAAAAAATAACAGATGCCATTGCATACTTCTTAGCCAAAGACATGTGCCCCATTAGCACGGTTGAGAACGAAGGATTCCAAAAAATGATAAATACTCTGGACAAGCGTTATGCTTTGCCATCTCGACACCATTTCACCAGAGTTGCTCTGCCTGCTTTATATGAAAAATGCCGTGCAGAAGTGGCTAATGAAGTGTCAAAAGCAGAGTACTTCGCCACCACAACAGACCTATGGTCTAGCCGTACAATGGAGCCATACATTAGCTTAACACTACACTTCATCTGCGCCAATTTCAATTTGAATACGAAATGTCTCCAAACTGCGTTTATTCCTGAAGACCATACCGGGCAAAACATAGCCCATGGACTCAGGGAAGCTATGGCTGCATGGGGTTTAAACGAGGAAAACCTCACCTGCATCACAACATAAAGCCGGCAGCTGAGGTAAATGGATGGATGAGGCTTCAGTATTTCGGGCACAGACTCCACTTGGCCATAGGTATGTAGGAAACCTTCATACAGATTATATGTAATGTGGTGATTTAATTGTACTATCACACTAACCTTTTACTATTATTATTATTATTACCACTTGAACTACTCTTTGATGCCTTCTTACTCTGTCTTAACAAATGTTGCTTTGATGAGGGTGGCGATGATCATATAGTTGACTAAATAGTATTTATTGTAATCTTAGAGAATGTAATGAAGGATCCTAGGGTCGACCGTGCAATGAGGGTCTGCAAGAAGCTCATCAGCAGCTTTTCCTATAGTTGGAAAAAAAAGAGGGAACTTGCAGAGGCACAAAAGCAGCTGAAGACTCCCTTAAAACAGAATGCCCAACCAGATGGGGATCTAGGCAGGCCATGATGGACAGAGTCCTTGAGCAGCATAAGGCCATTGCCCAGGTCCTTTCTAGCGACCGAAAACTCAGACATCTCACCCTCTCTTGGCAGGACATGGACGTACTGGAGGCCATCAATAAGTCTCTTAGCCCCCTTGTTGAATTCAGTGACGCACTTTCTGGAGGGAAATACATAAGTGTGTCTTTTCTGAAACCAACCCTCCACCTCTTCAGAAATTCAATATTGGAAGTGCAGGAGGATGACACAGACCTTGCCAAAAGCATCAAACAGAAGATAGTAGACTACCTCAATGACAAATACAGCGACACAAGAGTTACTCGACATGGCCTCTGCCCTGGACCCAAGGTTCAAGCTTAAATATGTCAACAAAGACAACCGAGGGTCTATTGAAGACAGACTGACAGCAGAGATGAAGAGTGTGATGACTGACATGGTGGTAATAATAATAATAATAATGAAAAGTTAAGTGGATTAATGTGTTGGCAAAATAATTTGAACATTTAAATACCACAACCTCAATTCTTGTTTTTCTTGTAATATGTTCCCTCCAAGGAGAACGCCCCTCTTGAGACAGAGGATGCTGCTACTGCTCCAAAGAAGAAGAAGAAGAAGAAGAAGAAGGAGGGCCTGGGCAGCTTCTTCAAGGTCACCACAGACAAAGCTGCTGGACCTCCTCTGCAACAGGACCAGGCCCTAACTGTTGAGCTACAGTCGTACCTGCAGACAGAGACACTGGATGCTGAGGAAGACCCACTGAAGTGGTGGAGGGAATCTCAGAGGATCTACCCACGGCTTTCCAACCTGGCAAGGAAATATCTTTGTATTCCAGCCACAAGTTCTTCATCAGAGCGAGTCTTTAGCACTGGTGGAAATATTGTCTCCTGCTTGCGTTCATCACTGAAACCAGATCATGTGAATAGGCTGGTGTTTCTGGCTAAAAACCTTTAAGGCTTAGATGTGTAACCCTATCAGCATTTTGGCCACGTTGGCCTGAAACATGTTTACTTAGTCTAAAGATGAAGTTAAACTTATTTTCTGTTAGTTCTAAGCCATGGTGGGCCAGCCTTAAAATATTATTGGACTGAGACGAGTTACTGACTGGAGTTTGATTGTTTAAAATGTAGAATGTTGTAAAATGTTGTTTAAAACTTCTCAGTTTGTTAAGGCACATATGTGAGCAATCTTATTTTGGTCTAATTTATTATTTGATCTAATATTTGTATTTAATTTATTACTTGTTTTTAAGAGATTGTGGAAGTGCACTACATTGTTGATCTTATTTGCCTTTATTTTATATGCTGTTTATACATTTGAATATTGTTTATATTTGTTTTAAGGAGGATTCACTGTTCAATAAATGCAACATATTTCCAAAGTCAATGAATAATCGTTTGAAATAATCGCAATTTCAATAATGGCCAAAATAATCGTGATTATGATTTTTCCATAATCGAGCAGCCCGACTGTACAACCTTTGCTGCTGTTTGTGCAGACAGACAGTAGACTAATGATAACCAGTTCCGTGGTCTTCCCAATATTATGATAAATACCATTGTATTTGAAGGATAGAATTTGAAGGAAATGTGCGAGAACCAACAGGAATCATTCTTGTGTGTTACGCAGCATGTTTGAGGTTCACAAGAACCAATAAGGTTCATTCTCGTGCAAATTTAAATTAAGCCATATGCGGCTTTGTGTTCTGTTTTGCGGCTCGATCACTCGAATTTCCACATTTTAACAATATTAATAACACAACTAAAATGAGGGAACAAATAAATAAGTTAAGGCATGGCCACGTTGTACTAATTTGATGCTTAGTTTTACTTTAAAGAGAGAAGAAATCAATGTAACATGAGCCGTGGCCACAAATTAAAGTCATAGGAATTAATTATTAATATTTTTTTAATATAAACATTCAGCTTCATGTGTGGCCTAGACATTTCACACACACCGGTAATTCAGTTTAGCTTTCCCCCAGAACAACATCTAATATAAATGTCTGGCTCGTGCAGAAAATATAATTCACTTTTATGACAATTTACAAACAATTTCAGTTTCTTTGAATTATTATTATTTTTGTCAATTAACTGATCAGTGATTAATTATTAGCATCGCTAATTGAGATAAGTTTATAATTAACTATATCTCCTGGGTCGAACTGTGCTTTTTTAAATAAAGGGTTTAACTGCCAGCTTAAAGGTTTTTGGGACATGACCTCAAGAAAGTTAGTAATATTGTGAAGAGCAGCGTTTCTCAACTCTGACCCTCAAGGTCCCCTTTTCTGAAACCTTGATAAAACTGCATTTAACTTTCAAATAATACAGAAGACTTTGATTAGTATGTACAGGTGTGTTTGATTAGGGTTTGAGCTAAACTCTGAAGGAAAGGGGGTTTCAAGGGCCAGAGTTGGGAACTTCCAGCAGGTGTTTTGGGGCAAGTAGGACAGTGGCCTCCAGAGCAGGTTTGGACATTTCTGGTACAGGGTCTAGCATACATGTTGTTGGTTTTGATGTATTACACACCTTAAAGGTTTGATGTCTGTTGTATTGTGTCATTAAACTTTGGATAACTTTTATTTGTTTGTGTTTTTTTCACTTTAGACCTAATAGCAATGAAAGAGAAAGAAGTACTGAATGAAATTGAAGAGAAAGATCAATATGGGAATCTTCATGATTTCACAACTGGAGAAAAATCTTTTAGACGTTCGCAGACTGAAAAGACTTCCACACGAAAAAAAGCTCAAAGAAGTTATTTCACTTTCAATCAACAAGGAAACCTTAAAGTCCACACTGGAGAGAACCCTTTCACCTGCCAACACTGTGGAAAAAGTTTCACTCGTAAATTAAGTCTTGACGTGCATATAAGAATTCACACTGGAGAAAAGTCGTACACATGCCAACAGTGTGGAAAAAGTTTCACTCAAAAAGGAAGTCTTAACACGCACATGAGAATTCACGCTGGAGTGAAGCCTTACACATGCCCTGAGTGTGGAAAGAGTTTCCATCAACATATAAACCTTAAAGCCCACATGAGGATTCACACTGGGGAGAGCCCTTTTACCTGCCAACAGTGTGGACAAAGTTTCAATCATATAATCAGCCTTAACAGTCACATGAGAGTCCACAATGGAGAGAACCCTTACACATGTCAGCTGTGTGGTGAGAGTTTTGCTCAACTTGTAAACCTTGAAGCCCACATGACAATACACAATAGAGAGAGTCCCTTCACCTGCCAACAATGTGGAAAAAGTTTTGCTTATAAAGGAAGCTTTAACGTCCACATGAGAGTTCACACTGGGGAGAAGCCCTACACCTGCCAACAGTGTGGAAAGAGTTTCTCTCAAAAAGGAAGCCTTAACTTGCACATGACTGTTCACACTGGAGAAAAGCATTACACCTGCCCCGAGTGTGGAAAGAGTTTTGCTCATTATGGAAACCTTAAAGTCCACATGAGAGTTCACACTGGAGAGAAGCCTTACACCTGCCAACAGTGTGGAAAGAGTTTCACTCGTAAAGTAAATCTTGACATGCATATAAGAATTCACACTGGAGAAAAGTCGTACACATGCCAACAGTGTGGACAAAGTTTCAAGCATAAAGTAAGCCTTAACAAGCATGTGAGAATTCACACCGGAGAAAAGCCTTACACATGTCAGCAGTGTGGTGAGAGTTTTGCTCAGCGTGTAAACCTTAAGGTCCACATGAGAGTCCACATTGAAGAGAACCCTTACACATGCCTTCGTTGTGGTGAGAGTTTTGCTCAACTTGTAAACCTTAAAGTCCACATGAGAGTCCACAATGGAGAGAACCCTTACACATGCCAACAGTGTGGAAAGAGTTTTGCTCAGCGTGTAAACCTTAAAGCCCACATGACAATACACAATGGAGCGAGTCCCTTCACCTGCCAACAATGTGGAAACAGTTTCACTCATAAAGGAAGCTTTAACGTCCACATGAGAATTCACACTGGGGAGAAGCCCTACACCTGCCAACAGTGTGGAAAGAGTTTCTATCAAAAAGGAAGCCTTAACTGGCACATGACTGTTCACACTGGAGAAAAGCATTACACCTGCCCTGAGTGTGGAAAGAGTTTTGCTCATCATAGAAACCTTAACGCCCACATGATAATTCACACTGGAGAGAGCCCTTTCACCTGCCAACAGTGTGGAAAATGTTTCACTCGTAAAGAAAGTGTTGACAGGCACATGAGAGTTCACACTGGAGAGAAGCCTTACACATGCAAACAGTGTGGAAAGAGTTTTGCTCAACTTGGAAACCTTAAAGCCCACATGAGAGTTCACACTTAAAAGAGTCCCTTCAGCTGCCAACAGTGTGGACAAATTTTCAATTATAAAGGACTCCTTAACAGGCACATGAGAATTCACACTGGAGAAAAGCCTTACACCTGCCAATAAAGTGTATAAGTTCTGCTCAAAAAGGAAACTTTAACAGGCACACAAGAATTCACACCAAAAAGAACCTCTGCACCTGCCAACTGTGTTTAGAGAGTTTTACTCAACATGGAAACTTTAGAGTCCACATGAGAATTCACACTGAATAGAACACTTACTCCTGCCCTCAGTGTGGAAAGTGTTTCACTCAAAAAGAAACCCTTAATAGGCACATGTGAATTCACACTGGAGAGAAGCCTTACGCCTGCCAACAGCATGGAAAAAGTTTCACTCAACATCAAACCTTAAAAGACCACATGAAAATTCACACTGGAGAGAAGCATTATTAGTTATAAACTTGTTCTTTGCTTAAGGGTTAAAAAGCTCAAAATACCTGAGCAGCAGGCTTAGCACATCTCAAGGGGCATTTAGATCAGGGGTGCCCAACCTCGGTCCTGGAGGGCCGGTGTCCTGCAGAGTTTAGCTCCAACCCCAATTAAACACCTGAACCAGCTAATCAAGCTCTTATAGGCATACTTTACCAGCTACCAACTTTACCAACTTACCAGCAGGTGTGTTGAGGCAAGTTGGCGCTAAACTCTGCAGGACACCGGCCCTCCAGGACCGAGTTTGGGCACCCCTGATTTAGATGAATATGTATTTACTTTCAATAACAAAATAAACAGTATTTGTGGTAGCATCTGATCATTGTGATGTTGATTTTATTCAGCACTGCAGTCAAGTCTTGTTCCATTTATTGGTACAATTGATTTCTATATAGCAAGTAGCTGTAGCATCTGCTTAGGATCATTGATGATTATTTTGCCTTTATGTCTTAAGAGTCCCTTTTATCCTTTTGACAGTTGCAAACCAATCCAATGAGAGGAAAGTCACACTTGGTACCAGGAACCAAATGCCTGGTGGCCAGCGAACTCCCCCCATGCTCACATACACATAACGCACACACATAAAGACATTATCTTTATTTAAGCCATAATAAGTGGTTATAAATGTATCTAGTATATGCATGTGTTGTATATATGTTCCTCAAGCAATGATGTACACTGTTATCATGAAATGCATCATACTATTTTTACTAGATTTTGGGTAAAACTGCACCAATTATCCAGACCAACATTAAACATGCAAATGGGCTGTAAATGAAGACAAAGTAAATTTATCCCGCTCAAAATTCACGCCTTGTATTGGCCATTCCACCAAAGATGGGTGTGACTGGGAAACCATTAAAAGACCCCCAAACTCTCCAAGTGGGTCTTCTGTGCTTTTTTTCTTGTGGTTTTTAGTTATTCCTCTCCTCTTCTCCTTCAGAGACTCTCCTCCTTCAGATACAGCCTTTGGACCCTTTTGGAACTTACTCACGAACTCACTTCGTTTGAATTACCCATGGACCAACTCCTCCTGGAAGACCCACAAGGACAACGCCAGCATGCTACGTTGAACTCAGCCTTTCCCAACATTTCGGACTCTCATTACACATCAAAACCAATGCAAGTAACCTTTCTAGTAACTGTCAGATGTACTGTTGTCACGCCCCTGGACTCTGTTTGCTTTTGCTCCCCATGTGCTCCGTGACCTAGTTTTCCCTTGTGTTTGATTGTTCATTGCTCCCAGGTGTGTCTTGTCTATTACCTTGTTAAGTTGTGTATTTAAGTGCAGTCTGCCCAATGTTTTCTTGTCAGGTCTATTCGTCATTTGGTTCTATGTGTGTCTC